CTCTGAAGTCAGCCATCCTGACTGATGTAAACCCTTCTATTTTTATTTCTTACAGAGTCCTAACTTTATATACAAAAAATGTGAAAGAGTTTGCTATAAATATAAATTAAAATGCTTTCAGACTTCTGCTAGACATGCATGTTTAGTGACACTGAAGATAGCACAGATTTATTTTGAGTTAGAAAAATATAAAAATTAACCATTAAAAAGTCAGAAATGAAAGATTTGTACTGAGAGCTGCAAATTTSTCTCTTGTTTTTAAAGGGCTAGGAGGCTTCCCACTCTAGTCCCCACCCCCCACTAGTCCCAGTTTGGGGGGACTGCAGATGTGACCCTTATATCCACTTTTAACAAAATTTCTTTGCCTGAAATTTAAGATTAGGTTTCGACTTGTGTCCTGGGATGACTAACCTTTATCTGTTCCATGGGCAAGAGAGAGCAATAGAGCTAGTAACAACCCTAACACCGTCAGAAATTTTCAGTGTTTTCASTGTATTTGTATTTTCAGTGTAAGTGTATTTTCAGTATCTATTTTGCAAACCTTTTGCAGCTTTGGGAAGACAGACACAATAGCAACAGAAGTGAAGACTGCAGCGTCTCAGAAAAGGCCAAGGGACCCACTTCAGTGGGTGGTTTTGGGGAGTGCACACAAAGCTGTTGAACGGGCTTTTTGCGTTGTTCCCATTTCCCTGTAGGTCATGCTGACCAGCGCTTCCCAAACAGTTGCTTTTCGCCAAAGTGCATTTCTGCTTTTTGTTCAGACGGACCTTTGGAAGCACCAGCTCCACGTGGGAGTAGCAGCTAGTGCAGCATCCCGGGAGCTGCGCACGGGGCTGTGCGGGGCCGCGCAGCGGGACGGCGGCCGCGGCGCGCGGGCACCTTTGGGGACCTCCTGCCTGCCTTCTCTCCCCTTATGTGGGACRAGTGAAATGCCAGCGTGTAGGAAACTGGCAGATTTCATAGAATTTCTGACACATTTCTCRTGGTTCTTGCAGGCCAGGGCTCATTTTGAGCCCTGCCTGCAGCAAACGTGAGGCYGAGTTGCTCTGCAGCGAGGAGAAGCGAGGCCAAGCGGTGCTGACTGCTGCTGGGCGCACAGACAGGTCCCACTCCGGGCTCTTGGCCGAGCCCAGTGGATTATTCCAGTCCCAGCAGCCAGGGGCAGCCCACTTGGCTGGTGTTTGTGGCGACCTTTCCAGCATCTCTTTCATCCAGAAGTACGGAGCTGCTGAGGACTGGAGCAGCCTGGTCCTAACCGGGCGCCAGGCAGCCTGGACCTGCCCGTGCACCCACTGGCAACAAGGATGGGGGCGGCTCCAGCCCACCCTGCTTCCGCTCTCATCCTGCTCTCTCTTTCCCGGGACAGCATCAGGAGCAGCCTGGCTGCCGCCCACCCTGGCAGCAACAGCCTCCGGGTGGAAAACCGAGGAGAAAAATGCCCGATTGCTCGCCAGCGCTGCGGCCAGCGCGACTGTTCATTCCCTGGGGCGGTCGCGTTACAGCCCCAGCTAATTCTGCATTGTTTGGCTTCCCTGGGGATCGGCTGCAGATATTTTGTATTTAAATATCTGAGAAGTTCAACATGTACTTGGAAATTGGTGTGTGGGATATGTGGATACTTTAAACAAATAGATTTTGAAAACTTTGTTACAAACAGACTTGAGAAGTGAAGACCTGAACAGGTCAATCGCAGGAAATATTTTTCAGGAATTAGAAAAAGGTTTTCTTGCCTTGGATAGAAGCAGTACAACTCCCCCAAAATGTCAAGGGGTGACTGTGGCACCATCAGCAACTTCTGGCAAATAACACTGAGGGCAAGAAAATTTGTCTTTGTCTCAAAAGGGGGTAATGGGATATAACTTTTAAATTCACTGCATTATCAAAATATGCCTCACATTTTTCATTTGGAAATCAACCAATTAATGGTATTTGCTTTAGTAACTCCTGGGTTTTAAACTACTTTTGGAAGTGTTTTGTTGTTTAGGTTGTAGTGAACTTTCCTAATCCCTACAAAGTCCTTTGTAATAGCAGTAATAGCAGTAATAGCAGAGGGATAGGAATTTATTTCCTTTTTCAAAGCATCAGGCTTTTCTAATTCCCTACTTTACAGTTGCAAATGTATCTTTAAAAATACTGCGGCTTCTGAGAAGCGCGGTGAAAAATATGGAAGTTTCTGTAGTTACGCTTTAATTTTTTTTCTTCACTCAATAAGAATGCAAATCTCTCCCCCCTTTTAAAGGAAAAAAAACCCATATTCAATAAATCATATTTCAGTGAAATACTTTTGTTTATGTGTGCCACTCCCCTCTAGTGAAGAGAAGTGGAATTGCTCCATCTCATGCCATGCTGTGGACTCCCAGCTGCAAACAGATTATGGACATTTTCTTTAACCTTCCCTGACAAGGAATTCTTGGAGTTGAACAGTGTGGGCTTTTCCTCCCTGCTGTTTTTATTAAGGACAAAACGAAGCTGCAGGGCCTCAGATCTGGCAATGAGATCTTCACTGTCAAGTATACCCAATTTGCTAAACTCACATCTTTCACGCATAATGCCCATGTAAATATAGAATTTAAACATGAAGTAAAAAATTCTGTCAGGCTCTGAGTGATGCATTTATTCAATAAGTCAACCATTCTATAAGAACCTTAGTTGGAACTGGTTTAGCTKCAGTTAGGTGTGCAAGCCAAGGTGTAAATCCATGTACTTTCACACACTTTTTTGTTGAACAGGAGAATCAATAATCTAATAGGAATTACAGGAAAAAAAGGATGRATACATGATACATGTTCTGAAGTGTGGCAGCTGACCGCATGCCAGGTGTGAGATTCTGTAGCCAAAGGCCACRTATAGCAGTCATCTAGCCTCTGCTTGCCCTCCTTGGAAAGAAATATGTCAACATACCTTAACATACTGTACATCTCAAACAGACCCATGAGCAGGCTACTGCTTATGCTCAAAAACTGCTTGCTTTTATTGTCTGCAAGGTCCCATGTTCTTCAAGGATGGCACAGGAATATAATAAAGCTGTAGTTTTATACCTGAGACACAGGTTTGTTAGAGGGAGCTGTAAATTGATTTTAAATTAGAAAGGCGTGGATTACAAAGAGTGGAGTGGGGATTAGGAAAGGAAGGGGCAGAGGTTTCCACCAGGGACCATACTGAGTCACAGTGTGCAGTGTCTCATCCCAGGTATTCGTAGTATCTGTGTTGTGAATCTGACAAAAAGAAAGTGCCTTAAAGTTAAGAAAAACATCAAACAACAKATATACATGTTTTTAAAACCATCTGGTGCAATGACTTTTTCGTTCAGTCACTCACTGCATGCTCACTGTGGCCTAGGTACTGTCCCTTGCCCCTGGTATCTTACTCATTTCTCATGCCAGTGACTGAATGACTACAAGCTCATGTAGCATCGTGAGTCTGTACACTAGCAGAATGCTTAAATCTGTAGGTATTAGGTTGTGTCTKGCTTGAAAGATACATATTTTCTGATTCGCTTTGAGCACACATAGTATACATTCAGATTGAATGATAAATATTGATAAATTATTGATAAATTATTATAGAATATCTAAATTTTTCATTCTGATGCAAGCATGTAGGAGACAACAAGTTTTGAAGTAACAGTCAACATGAATTTGTGACGAGCAAATGGTGTTAATTATTTAATGTTCTTACTAGGGTAGGGAGGTGGGTAGCAGTTATTTCTAATGTAGTCTATCACTATGGATTTTGCAAAATGCTCTTGCATGCATTGAGTCAGCAATGCCGTGCTGTTAGAGGGGAAAGGAGCATAAGAGAGGGGAAACAGGCAGTAATACCACATGTAAATAATAATCCTTCCACTTTGCCCAGCCCTGGTGAGGCCTCATTTGGGTCTCTTGCTCCACCGTAGTTGACATAGTTCATATGCGATGTGGAACTTTGGGGGTGGGTTTCGGAGAGGACAAGGGAGCTCCGGTATTTAGGAGGTATGTCTGCAAGGAAAGAGAGAAGTAATCKCTTAGTTTCAGGGAGAAAAAAAGATATAGTGAGACCTTAAGTCTCTGAATATGTAAGAATGATTCAAAGAAGAAAGGAACACATTATTTCCCAGTTCCCTGAGAATATGCTTAAATTGCATGAGGCTTGACATGAGGAAGCATTTCTGGCATGTTCTCACATAGAATGTTTTTTATGTCAGGGGAGTGTGAATGGGACATTGACTGGGAAGKCTGTGGAGTCTCCTCTGTGACAAGGTTTTAAAACACGTTAGACCTTAGACAAAAACCTGTCAGGGTCCCAGGTGAAGCTGATGTGTCTGTGAAACAGGATGGAGGATCTGAGGATCATCTCTGTTCCATGATTTAAAGAATAAGTATTGCTGTATGACTGAAAAAAAAAAAAGGTTAGGATGGGAATTTGGAAGAGAAGAGAAAAAAAGGTTCATGCTAAAGAATGAAGACTGGCGTAGCACATGCAAGAGCCTTTGCAAAACCTGTACAGACTGGGAGTTGAAATTGTGTCTTTGGATGCAATTCCAACACTCTGGAACGTATAATGGGAACAAGGATCTGAACTTGCATCCATCAAAATTAAAGGCTGCCTTCTTGCTACCTTCTTAGGGTATAAGAGATATATGAGGTAAGGGGAAGGGAAAATGTAATTTGCTAACTTACTGCTTAATAAGATTCAAAAATCAAAATGTTCTTCTTCTTTAGTCCCCTAAAGCGTATCTGGAATTCTATGGAAATCCATAAAATTGAATGTGTTGTTTATAAAGACTAAGGGCACTGGATGAAAGGCAGTTTCTTCTGTTTTCACTAAAAAAAAAAAAAAAAAGTGTAAAATAAATATGAGGCAATCCTGAGGCCTCCAGTTAGGCTAAACGCAAACTGAGAACATGAACCATAAACTTCTTTATTTGTAGAGAATGCTATATACCATTGTAGCCCCTTAGCTTCTTAAAGTGTAACAAGGGGGAAAAGTCTTGATTTTGTTTGCAGAGCACTTTGAGAACTATGGCTGTGAAGCAGAACTACACAATGGTCATTAAAGATTATCTTTTCTCTTTTCCAGAGAGATCAGTGCTTGCCCAGCCAACATTTATCTTTGAGAAGAAGGACCATCTTTTGAAGGTAAAATCTTAAGCTTTTGYTTTGCAGAACTGATAAAAAATGCTAAGAAATGAGGATTTTATAGACAGTGATCCTAGTGGCAGTAGAAGTCTTCTGCCTTGTTTAAGACTCATGATAACTGAGCTCAAAATAGAACAAGCATAAGTAGAGACAAGACTGCTTTTCTTTCATATATATATATATATATGTTTGTGTGTGTGTGTGTGTGTGTGTGTGTGTGTGTGTGTGTATGCTGGATTGACAGACTTTGTGTCCTGCTCTAGGAAATGGCAGATCTGTTCTCCTTGACCCTTCCACCCTTTTATTTTTTTCAGCGGCCTGCAGAAGACCCAGTTTGCAAAGCTGAAAATGGTAATAATCACTTCATTGAAACAGTTTAAAAATACACTGRGTTATTCATAGATTTGACCATTGCCTGTGAAAACAGTGTTTAAACCCTYACCTTGAATGAGCCAGTGCAACTCCCTCTTAACAGCCTCTGACTGCCTGGGCTGCAAAGCCTCCTAGTATTTCACAATATGTCTCCTCTTTCCTCTTGAATCTTTCTCCCATCTYCCAGAACTTCTGGAAAATAGGCAATATTTGGCTAGGAATATTCATTAGCTGTATTAGTTCCTGTCTGCCCTTTTCTATTCACACAGGACCCATTACACTGTAACTTCTYATTCTTAATGCATTCTGAGCCTGTGGATGCTGAACTGATTCCAAGTGCTGATTCTAAATCCCCTGACATTGGTAGAAATAAAGAAGACTCACTAGGGCTTTCTACCAACTCTTGACTCTTAACTTAACTTAACTTAACTTGATTTAACTTGACTTAACTTGACTTAACTTTTCGATTCTGCCTTAAAGTTATCATTATAAATTGTTCCTAGAATTTATCATCTTCAAGTTTTAAATCTGTAGCATACCATTATGCTGAGTTCTGCTCCCAACTGTTTCTACAGAATAATATATTTACTTTTCTTTAGATCTCATTAGGTGCTCCAGAAAACGGGCAAGATCATCATCTTTCACTTTCCAGAAGGCTGACTCACAGTCCGACCCAGGTGAGCTGTCCAGCTCCACTCGCCTTTTTGATTACTGTGGTTCTCTAATCTCATCTGGTAATGAAGAGGCAGTATTTTCAGTTACCCTTAGAAATATATCTGCATATATTTCATATGGATTCCTGGAACTCGGACAAGGGAGGATGGGGGCTGAAAAGAAATAAGATTCTCTTGTTTGTGGAAGAGAATGATGCTTCTTGGGGAATCCATGGAAATGTAAAGCAGTTTTCAAAAAGGCTTMTATTTCCAGCTGACCTGGAAGTCCCTTTAAAAGCAGTGTATTTCTTCCATGATATTTGGGGAAAATACGCACAAGTCATTGAAAAGAGTAGGAATGATCCTTTATAGTATTTATTTAATATAATGATGAGGCCAAAAAAGTTACTTCACMGTTTAGGCCTTAATATATGTAAGCTGTATTTTGCTTTATTCAGTCCTATGGCATACATAAGCTGAAAGGATTTAGCATAACCTAAATTTAGTTTACTCTGAAATTATGCTGAGATCATGCATAGAAATCATAGGTACAGGGTGGGGAGCATGCCTATACCAAGAAACAAAGCACAGTTCATGAGCAAGCTTGAGTGCTAAGCCTCTGGACTGCCCACACTGCTGAGCTGTCAGCTCACTCTCTGGCTCTGWTTTGACCCTCTACAGTGACCATTTTCAAGACAGAACCACTGTAACATTGACTGGCAGGAGCAGTGTGGGCAAGCCAGGCTGTGCTACTTGGCCTCAGAGACCCCTCTGATTCAGCACTAGAGGCATAACCTGAAAGAGTGCCTCCAAAAGCTAGCAGGCAGCAGGGAATAAACTGATTCTGCTCCCAAGGAAGATGTGATGTTGAATTGGCTAACCTAAAAATTCGTCTTTTTTTTTTTTTTTTTTTTTTTTTTGCCATGCGCAAAGGATAATTTCGTTTTCTTTATCCTTTCAGATACAACACTCTCTCAGAAAAGAGGAAGATCATCTTCCTTTACCATACTTCCTACTTTTCCCCCCTCCCAGACAGGTAATTAAAAGAAGAAAACGACAACAATAAATATTTACATGGAAAATCACATGTTAGGGCAGAGTGCTTTAATTTACTGTAGTGCTTCCCATGCCTAAACCTATTCAACTGTAAAATGAGGACAGGATCTTAGAGATCTTGTTTGGATGGACTGTGGGATATTACTGAAATATTACCAAAATGGCACTAAGTTATAGACATATAGACAAATGATGTATTACTACTTATTGTTAAAGTTTGAATTCCTCTTTCTTTAGTAAAGAATAAAAACATATTCATGACCGCAGCTCTTCTTCAAAGAAATACTGACATCAAAACTACAAAAGAAGGTAACTTGTAACATTATATTGACTCTTCTTCCACAAAGACCTTCTTAACAGATAAAGAACAGATAAAAATGACAACCCTCCACCGTGCTAAGTGAATGCTTTATGAGGTTCCTAAGTTAAATTTTATTTGAGGACATAAGTRTCCTGTAAGCTGTGTTCTGAGCCTCTGCTCTGACTCTTCATGGTTATATTAATTTCTGAGTAGAGCGATTATAACTTCGAAAAGTCAAATTCCACATTTCTGATACATGACTGAACGATGTTAAAACTCTACTTCCAGAGAAGACAATGAGGAATMTTTTTTGGCATCTGCAGGTTCAGGATTAAATTTGAAATATCAGCTAACAGATGTATCATGAAGCGGTGCCAGTTTGCTATACATGCACACACACATATGTGTGTGTGTGTAAATATAATATATATATMTAAGTGTATGTATATGTATGTATTTGTATTATCCTTCTCTTTTATTGGGATACTATGGATTGGTTTCAGCAGAATTGTGAATTTTAGAAGGGGTTAGCATTTTCCAGAACATGTTGTAAGTAAGCAATGGCAATAACTGTTACTTAAGTGTACTCTGCAGCTTTTAGTTAAAGGGGCAAGGTACAGAGGTATGAATTAAAAGTGAGGAAAAAGTCTTTATTTCCATATTTTATTTTTGTTTGCAAGGATGCTTGTCACCAAGTCAGTTGCGGAATGTCATTAGACCTGCCATTTTGCAGCCACCACAAGCCCTCCCATGTCCTGAAAATTCCATGGCATCTGTAGTGACTACAAAAGAAGTACGCGTTCAGGTAAAAAGAAAAGTGATTTTAATGGCTAATATGCATGTTTGGAACTCAATCAGATTAAAAAACAACACTGTTTTAAAGCAGTYACTTCGCTACAGGACTTCAAAAGAATTTCCCATATGAGTTTCAGTAAAAACAATGAATTGGGGAATGAATGAAAAGGGAAGCAATGAATGAGGCAACTGTTGAACCAGTGCCAACTGAGCTTGAAAAACCTGCTGCCCTTGCAGCCTGTCTTAACTTTCAGGCAATSATGTTTTGTGAGCAAGTCAGGTTTGGGGATTCTTTTTGACTTGGCTTTTTCGGAAAGTATTGACTTAAGGTGCTCTAGGTGACCCTGCGTGAGCAGGGGGGTTGGACTCGATGACCTCTGAGGTCCCTTCCAACCTTCGGCATTCTATGATTCTATGATTCTAAGGGGTATTGTTTACAGCACTGGCTTAGTACACAGTGCGAGGAAGCTCCACCCACTTGCACAGAAATACACTTCAGTGACATTGGATTTCTAGCAGACYTGTTTATTACAGAGAATATGTTTGGATTAATTAATTTATCTGCTTATATTATTCCTAGTTATCTGAAAACAGCTCTTATTCCTCAGTGGAGAATTCAGTAAGTTTGAAGACAGCAGCAAGTTCATCTATTGCCGTGAACAACAGCCCTAAAACAACACGGTAAGATTTTTCATGTATTCATACCCCACTTTGTCCGTTGGCCTGAGGCCAGCCCTTTCTCTCTACCTGTCTAATCTGCTGCTAAGCTCGTGGTGTTTATTGCACGCTGTGCCTGCTGCTATTTGTGTGTGGTGCCAGGATTTGTGGGTGCTGACATGAGTCCCATATGCCATAAGGAAYGGACTGCTGCCAGTGTTGGACAGCTTGTCCCTCGTTAGCAACCCCCAAGCAAGAAGGTGCTTTAGTTGGTCATCTTGTGCAGGCTTACTAGCAAAAAGTACTGCTTAATAATGAATGGTKGTTGTGTTTCTGTCTCATCAGAGAAGTCTCTCTTGATTGCATAGCTCCATAAATGCTTTGGCTATAGAGAAACTCAGGAATTACCTGAGTTGGACACAGGTGGCATGAAGAGAGCCATACAGGAGAGTTTGGAGGTCACAGTGCCCTACTTCTACGTACATGTCAACATTTCTGCAGTAAACAGCTAGTTTAGTGTGATGGGGTCATATCTTTGTGCAGACATGGGTCGACTAAAATGGCTTTTAGCATTTCTGCATGAGGAAGCTGACTTATCTGCACAGAACTTGCCCTACACTCTCATGTCTCTATATATGAGTGAAAAAGCTCAGACGGATGCAAAAGTGAAAAATAAAATGCAAAAATCATTGCCTGTCTCTAGAGCCTGGCTCCATGGGAACGCTGCTGCGACTAGCGCGGTTAGTGTGAGCTGGCTCATGTGTGCGTGTTGTTGCTTGTCGGTGCTCGATTAGAGCTTTTTACCTGGAAGTTGTGAGCAGGAGATGAGTTAGCAATCAAGGAATGACATTTCAAACTGCAGAGGCTACTGATAACAAACTTGTTGTGTTGCCCCTGTTCCCCGCACACTCAGAAAGGTGGCAGACAAACATGTTAACTGCAAGGGATTCAGTCATAGTCTTCTTCAGGGCCTRAGGGATACCCATTGCTGTCATACCTTTACATTTTGGCAGCCCTTGGCTTTTAAGGAACATTCTTGGAAATCTTCATGTAACATAGTGCAGCATCCTTCATTCTTTTGTGAATGGCTAAGTAGAAAATAGTCTCAGATTCTCTTAAAGACTTTGGTTCCTAGGGTTTTGCTTGTTCATCTTCAATGTACAGTGTGGTAAAGTAAATGCCTGAACTTAGTCATATAGTCTTTACAGAGTCCTACATCACATGCTTATTTTTTCTCATAGAAGTCAGCAAGTTGAAGACAAAAATACAGTAAAAAACAGCAATTCTGATTTTGTGTTTGGAGAAAACATGATGGAGAGAGTTTTGGTAAGAAATGTAAATGCTGGGAAACTGTTAACAAGATTAATCTATTTATGAATATAGTTTCTCAGATGCTGATTCTTTCTAGCTCCTTATGTTCTTYTTAAGATGTGAATAGTTATCATTCCAATGTCTGATGTATAGGAAATACCTAAATATCTGATGTTAGAGGGCCATGCCAAGTGGAACAGCCAACAATAGAAGAGAAAAGAACGTAGTCCCCATCACTCTAATAAAGAGATGGGAAAAAATAGTGTAAATTCTCTTGGGCTGAGAAGGAAACTGGGACCTCCAGCCTAGATATTGTCCACCATAAGTCACAYTGTGTGTGCAGAGAAACAGCTTCATGGATCAAGTCCTTAAGGAATCTTAGACAAAAGAATTCTCGTGGATTGTACCACTTGAAATAGAACTGAAATTCAGTTTCTCACAGAAGCAGAATGAAAACAATATTTTTTTTGTGAGTGCAAAAGCTTGTGAATCATAGCCCCAGGTTGTGATTTATGACCAGGAATTAGGTGTAAGCTAGGAGCATAGACACTCAGCACTGTCAATAGTCAGAAGCACTTATTAGAAGTGCCTAGAGAGCTTCATCTGCCAAAACTAGAAGTCAGTGAGCTTTTTAATTCCTCCACTGTTAAGTTCAGTGCACCTGGGAATTTTCAAACTATTCTTTTGGGGTGTAAGTGCTTAAATTGGAAATTAGTAACACTAATTCTATGTTACTAATCTCTAACACTAACACTGACACTTAAACATGTAAGTCCTTTGTGGATTTAAATCCTAGTCCAGAATCCTTACAAAGAAGCCGTTCTTGGCAAAAAAAAATAAGTACTGATTTGGTGGTAATAAAATTACTTCCATTAGAGACTGAAATTGTTTCATTTGTCATTTTTACTCTTAAAATATTACAATTCCTAATCTTCACACAATATACATTAAATGATCCAACTTTCTGCTTGATATAAAGTAACAAAGACATTTTATTTAATTAGGAATTCTGATTTCCCCRTGTTTTTCTAGAGTCCTGAAAAACATCCTGAGACATCTAATGGAGCTTATTCATGCAGAAGAGAAGTAACATCCGTGTACAGAGAATCTTTTCATGCTCATGCACAGACAAGTAAGCATATTTAGCGAATAAGTTTAGTTAGCTTTAGTATTTTGCTGTGTCTATAGGGATGTCAGGTGAGTGGTGCTCAGTAACACTCCTCAATTCTCAAGTTGTCTCAGGCTATCAAGTTACACACCCCCATTGCAGGATGTGCCAGAAATTCATGTTCAAAAGCAGCTGTGATTTATGCACTTGGTATAAAATTGGACTAATTTCCTAAAGAATGATGGTTATTTAGGAAAAGATAGGATTTTAAAGTATGTGTGCTATTTGAAAATACACAGAGAATTTTGTGAATACATTTTGGACTGTATTTTTGAGCTACAAATTTAAGCTGCCTGCTGTTTGTAAAACTTTTGTGGCCATCCATATAAATAATGTTGCAGGAGGGGGTACAAATCTGCCAGCCTGAAACTTCTATACAGACAGATTTCAGGGTAGTTTTTGACTTTGGTCTAAGCTTTAATTTCTGGTGTAACCTAGACCGTAGGGGAATCCCAAATAGACTGGTATATTGAGTGCTATCCTGAAATTTTGCAATCCATCTCTTCCGTGGATATATTGAAGCCTCTTATTTTTTATGAACATTCTTACAAATGGAAAAACAAAAGCTTGTGGAAGACATACCTAAACTATGCAAACCTACGACTATCTGGCAACACATGTTCCTTTCTGTCAAGCCTTTATTGTTCCTGTATTGCTGTTCTGATTATTGGCACATATGTCTTCCGGTATTTATGAATCTGCACAGCAATATAACAGACCAGTTTCATTTGGAAACTCATCTTCTAACTATTTAGGGCTTGTTGCTACAAGTTGTTCTTTGGGGCAAATCTCTGCATCTGCACAGAGCCCCATTCAATTCAAAATGAGTCTAAACAGGTATGACATTTTGCAATATTTCAGCCTTTTACTTCTATTTGCCAGTTTTATCTCCAAGGTTATTAAAAGCGCTAACTGATACCAAGCACCACAGGGATTAAGGAAGTCCCAGGATATGAAATTGGTTATTTTTGTTGTCCAAAAATTTTTCCCTCTATGAATAAGGGGGGAAATAAATTTTCTTTTTATTATCTTTCAGAAACAGCTTTCATAAAAAATGCAACACTAACTGAATCAGCAGCTGTGTGTATTTCCAAGCCAGTGGAGAAAATTGTGTTAGATAAAGTTGAAATTATAACTGGAGAAGAAGCAGAACACAATGTATTACAGGTATGTATTTCTTAAAGCCTTCATGGTAAGCAGTTTTCTTGTTGTTTAAAAGAACATCTAAATATACTAGAGATTACAGTGATGTAAATATCACTTTGGTTAATACTTTAWTTTTTTTGCTTTTCTAAATATTGCCGCTGCTAGCTATTTGTTTTGTAGGCTGATGTTTCTTTTTTTGTCTTATATTTGTGCATTCTGTAGTCCCTGTCAGTAAGTGATTATGCTTCAGAACTTCATTCTGTGTTTTCATTTTTTCTAAGTGTTCTTACAGTAGATTCCTAAACCTGTCATTACTAACTAAAACTTCAAATTGCAAGTGATTTAAGATTTTTTAAGACAAAACATTTCTGAGGAAAAAAAAGGTATTATCCAAGTAATTGGTTTTATAATTCATYGAAAACAGAAATTATCTTTCTGGCCCAGCAGAATATATCTTGTTATTCTTCATTTTGATTTTTTTTTCTGTAAATASTCATTATGTATGATTAAGAAATCCTGAAATTGAAAATTAGCTAATTTCTGAATTGATTAAATCTCTGTCAGAATATGGAAGCTTTGCTCTCTGATAGTACCTGGTACATTGTGCTGCATAAGGTTTTTAATGAACAAGGTAATAGTTTACCTTGCAATAAGTTTACCTTTGTCAGTGGATGTTTCAAATAAATGAAGAATTAATGAAGGAAAAAAAACCATATTCATGTCGAATATTTTCCATGACTTAATTAACAGAAAGTTTAGCACGGATCTGGTGTCATTTGATTTTAAGTAATTGACCATTAGCTATAATTTTGTTTTATCTATATATGTATGTGTGGATATATATGTATATGTACGTATATATATCTAAAGCCTTATCAAAAGGCTTAAAATACAAATAAAGTTTTAAACAATAAGATTGACATTATTCATCATATATTTCTCTTTTAGATCAACTGCAAGCTCTTTGTATTTAACAAGTTCTCTTTAACCTGGATTGAAAGAGGCAGAGGATCTCTGAGACTTAATGACACTTCTAGCAATAAATGTGGAAAGTTGCAATCAAGGCTAAGTAAGAATGGAAKAACYAAATAACACATATACAAAACACTAAATAACTTGYGTTGTTGCTGACCAGATTTAATTAATCTCCAATAATCTTAGATTTTTATTTTAATCAGGTTGATGAAACTTTGCTTTTTAGTGTTCCTTGATAATTTTAGCTGCCCTACAAATAGGGGCACCCCCTTGGGTGAGCATTTCTGACTCAGTCTGTGCACTTGCTGATGTGTTTAGCCTCTAATTATTTCTGTTGCAAAGTACCTTTAGCTCGGTCACTAGTCTGACAGTTTGCTTTTTGTTGATTCTGCTATTCCAGTACCACTGACTTTCAAGTSACTTCTGGAATGTTGTTTTTAATGCACACCCATTTTTTGGTTTGCACTGTACAGCTATGGTGCATTTTTCATTTTGTATGCCAGAAGTATTGGGAGAAGCTAAAATAGTTTGATATTAAAAAAAGTCATTTCAAAATGTCAGGCTTTAGACCAACTTTAAAAGAATAATTCATGAAAATATTAGTTGTATACAATTATTACAGAAAACAGCTGGAATACARCTGAAGGTAATTACAATTACCTATTATATAAACTTTCTTATTTTAGTTATGCGAAATCAAGGCAGTTTGAGACTGATTCTCAACACCAGACTCTGGGATCAAATGGTGATAAAAAGAGCTAATAGAAGGAGTCTGTGCTTCACTGCAACAGATCAAGAAGATCACTCTGTTCAAGTATTTCTAATACAGGTAAGCAAGAGAAAATTCTCTCTCAAACCTCCACATTTCCTTGAATTCTGAAGATTTTGGTTCTAGTAAATTGCCTTTTATTTTCTAATAGGCTCTGCTTAGGACTTAAAACATTTACATGTCATTTATTATGAAATGAGGTAGCAGTGATATCCCCTGGTATTTCAGAACAAGGTGTGAAGACCTGATACAGCCTTAGGACAGACAATTCCAGGGTGGTTCACATACCACAGGATGGAATGCAGATCATTCCAGAGCCTTATGCAGCAGTTAGTGCTCTGGACTTTGCCTCTTACAGAAACAATACATTAAGAATTTCTAAACAGGAAGCTACACACATAAGTTACTTTGTGTAAAGTAGCAGCTTTCTGCTATGATTCTGGACAAAATGCTTGTAGTAACCCATCCAATCCAAGACCCCTTTATTTCACTTCACTTTCAACTACCCTTTTGCTTTTTAGTAGAGGCAGGCTTGAGGCGTGGCCTTGACTGCCTCGCCCTGCATAATTCCCTTGATGGAACTTGGTCCATCCTTGGTCCATCTAGTCTAGTAGTCAGTGGAGCTCACTGCTCCAAAGGACCAGCAGATTTAACTTTGTTACCCCTTTGTCGTCTGAATGATGGAGACATTTTGTTGACTTCTGAATTTTTGCATCTGTAAGTGAGATGGATCAGTGGGCTGCTAGTTGAGTTCCTTTTTTTTTAAGTTTCAGATGTTCATTATTCACTGTATACAGAAGTGCTTTTATGTTTTATACTGATCCCCTAGGGCTTTCACAAAGTATCCCCTCGTCCTTATGATTTGTGGTTCGAYGAACAACTATTCCATGTTCAGTTTATTCACCATTTTTGTGATTTGTAAACATCAGTTACACATTTCTTGGCCTTCAGACTGAAGAGTGTCAACCTTTTTAAGTGTCTCTTCATAGGGAGCTGCTCCATCCCCTTGACCATTTTAGGTGCTCTTCTTTAGTTCTTCTTTAACTCTGTTACATCCTTGAGATGTGATTCCCAGTACTGAACAAAGTCCTCAGGACACGAGTGCTCTGGGGTTTTATGTTATGCAAAACGTTGTCCTGTTGTGTTCTCAGTGCCCTCCTTGAAGACACCCACTTTGCAATCAGCAGTCACAGCAGAGTTCATGGCATCTTTAATTTTTATAACCAGTAATGTGGTTTTTTTTTTGTAATTAAGTTTCAATTCTTCTTTAACTCTCTAAGCTGAAATGCAAATACATATATTAGCAGATMAATGCTTTTTTGCTTCTAGAACCACATTCAGGCATTATCTGAAATGTCAATTATTTAGTACAAGTTGAGCCATTCTCCAGGAGAGGTAATTATTTTAAAGCTAGTGTTTCTTATATCTATAAAGAAAACAAGCAGCAGTTACATGGTAATATGTWGTAAAACTCAAACCACTTAAAGGATATTTTTAATTCAAAATTATTTTCTGATACTAAGTATTAAATGTGAATCTAATCTACTAAATATAATGTAATATAATATAATGAATAGAGTGAATATAATAATGCCTCACTGATGAAAAAGTGCAAAATATTTAGAGCTCTTTCCTTTCTTCTTAAGACTTTTGAACCAGTTTTTCTCTGATGAACTATAAAATTGTTTTATTTAATTTTGATTAGTTTTGACTCTGTGCACTTTACTTTCTGCAGGCAAGCTCAAAAGATGCTGGGTACCTGTATGCAGCAATACACCACCGCCTCGTGGCCCTGCGAACCTCCAGCGAGCAAGAATCAGAAGCTAATCAAATAGGCACAGAATCAGAAATAACTTTTCTTCCATTAAACTGTGATAGTGACGATGAAGATGATGAAAATACAACTCAAGCAAGCAGCAGTGGATCTGGTAAGCAGAAATCCTGTTGGAAATGCTGTGACTCTTGATATTTTTTTTCTTTTTTAAGGAATGAAAATTTCACTTTTTTTTATGCTGGCTATAACTTTAATCAAAGATTCTGTCATAGATAATCTGTTCAATGTAGATGAAGATAATGCCTTTTAGCATTTCGGTTGACTATTGTCAACAGTGCAGAGTTCTGCTAGATCAAGTATCAGGTCTGTAGCACTGTAATGSTCTTGATAAAAGACTGAATGAGCGTTAAGAAATTTTACTATTGCCAAGCTTAACCTAAAGGCTTCTTCGGTACAGTTCAGCAGAAAGGACTGGAGCTGCTCAGAGGGCAATTACTCCCTGAATAAAAGAAAGTCGAACCCCCKCATATCAGCTCAGGTAGTTATTAATGCCTTCCTGCACAATGTGCTTATGAAAAAGACCATATTAATTATTCAGTGGTTAACCTTGATTGCTCTTCAGCTGTAGCAACTACTTCACTAGGAAATTTGTGAGGCAAGATTTCCATGCCACTTTTTGGAGAGCTTGCTTCAGTATAACTTTAATGGATGCTTCTCAAGGTAAAGAAAGCAGCTAAAGAGGACACTCTCCTAACTTGATGCTGCTCTGTAAGCTGTTAGTACAGCTAGCATCAAAGCTACAGTCCAACTGGCAGAAAGCAAGACATCCTGACAGTTAACGTTAAAAAATCTTGTATTTTCTTAGCAGAAGGCACGACAAGCTTCAGGGTGGTGAATTCATCTACTTGTACAAAACTGGTAGTAAGGGAGCAGGAGCTGCCAATTACACTTTCTTTCCTCACAGAGGAACTAAGGCAGCACTTGATGCTTGCTGCATGAATTTCCCTCTGCAGCGGAGCAGCAAACTGATTTTACATTCTGACCTCTTCAGCACCCATTCAAGAAGAATCAAACCTTGTGCAAGTAACAGTTATGAGTGACTCTAAACAAAGCATGATGCTTTTATACAACATTTTCTCACAAATACTTCTATTTTTTGTTTAACAAATGGGAAAATGGTTAGCTGTGAAAACTCCCAGAATTACTCCTAGATAGTCAAACATTCACTCCATAATTCCTAAATAGTCTGTATTGACTTTACAGAGAGTTTCTGGTAACTTGAAAGCTCTGAATGGCACTTGACTCCCTTCCAAAATTACTGATGATAAGAACTCTTTGTTCTTTCAGAGAAAAAATTAGGTGAAAGGGAATGTCAGAGCAGTATAGGAGCACGTATTTACAAGTTAAATATTTATTTTGATTTGTGAGACTTGTGATACAGATATTCAGATGGCAGCCAGCAAATAGATTTGGAGGTATGCGTGTCATGTGCTGTTTTCTCCTGACCCATCAGTTTAAGCTTTCATTTATATCCAAATAGTTACTGTCATTCTAACCATATGATCTATTATTCAGTTCTGACATTCCCCTTCAAGTGTTTTTTGAATGATCTCTAGCATTTCATGCTTTATCTTGATTCTTTTGTCATKCTCAGACCCATGCAGTTTTAATTTTGCATAATACCATTTATTGGTATCCATGTGCCACCTTGCATGCAGACATTCACATCTTGCAGTGTGCCTGCCCATGAAACTCCCATGCCCGAAACAGTTGGAGAAGTCTCATGGGTTTGGACAGGGTGAGGCCAATATTAAATACCAGCAGAGACACACACATTCGGATGAAAAAGATCTGGTTCTGCATATTTAAAAACATTTAATAGATGCTGCTCAAAAACCTCTGTATTTTCATTGAAGGATGTGTATCCTTCAATAAAGAGGCCTTCTTTTATTTACTGATCCACTGTTCCACTGGGTTCAGGAGGTTACCTCTCCTTTAAACTATGGTAAATGTCAAGAGGAAAAGTTCTTAACGATTGTTTCAATATAAGAGATACAATTAGAGCATATTCCTGCATTTTACTTCATTCTTTTCTAACCATTTTGTCTCAAGGAAAAAATGTCAGGGCTCCCTTTTCTTAATAAACAGTTTTCTTCTTGTAAATCTTAATTAACATAGTTCTTTAGATTATGCTAGGCCAATTTTTCATAACAGTAAAAAAAAAAAAAAAAGAAAAAAAAAAAGAACCACAGCAGCAGCTATGCTTGCCATTGCTCCATTGCCAGTAGGGATCTGAATTTGATGCTTAGGCTCAGAAGTCACTAAGATGTGTTTGAAAATGTTATCTTTTGCTTCTGACACTCCTAAGAGATTTTTAGCATGTTTTCTTCATAGCCATTAAGGAGATTCTGTTCTTTCTGCAAAATCACGGAATCACAGAATGGTTGAGGTTGGAAGGGACCTCTAGAGATCATCTAGTCCAACCCCCCTGCTCCAGCAGGAACACCTGGAGCACAGAAACAGGTGCTGTTTCCACGATGGTCATCAAAAATCACAGAAGCTCCTTGCTGTGCTGTATCCCCATTTACAAAGAGCTGTTACTCTGTGAGATCCATATGGGCTTTGTTTCAGAAGGCAGCATGAAATATCAGTAGTAGCAGAGCACGGGGCTATATGCAGGATGATTGCTATGATTTCTGTCATGTTCCCTTTCCTCTGTTATTGCAGAAATTCATTCATTAGGATTTGTATCCTTGAGGGAGAGCAGAGAGGCTGGGAAAGGAATAAGAGAATGACAAGGATGACAGTTGTGAGGAGGCAAATGCATCAAGCCTTAAGTCTTAAACTACACCTCACCATCAGCTCTCCCTTAAATCTTCTCCTAACTCAATTCTGATTAAGGATCCTGATTTATGTGTCCTCTCCTTTCCGTCATGGAGTTTCCTTTGGTGCATGACAAGGATGAATTCTGAGGCATCCCGAGCAGCTGACCCACAYGTAGCCATAAACCTCAGGGAAAAGCACCATGGATGGAGACACAGGTTGTCCCATGTGGAAGCACCAAGAATTCCCTGCGTTGTTGAGACTGCTGGTGTGGAGAGCCAGGCAGCATCACGTCATACAAGTGCAGCTTTCCTTCCTTACAGAGAACAATAGGAACTTTACTGGTTCCCTATTTATGTAACTCCCATGTTCCCCTCATTAGGACTCTTCATCACATCCTGATTCCCAAGATTAAAAAGAAAAACACGAGAGAGAGAGCTCATTTTAACTCAGACAGTTTCATAGTTCTTAAAAAGAACTGCTGTTCAGAAGTACCCCAGAAGCTCCTGAAAAACTGGTATCTTCTTTTGACATTCTTTGTCAACTATATTTTYATTGAAATTGTTGCCCACGTTTAAAGTTAAGATTCCAAATCATAACTGTAACACGCACAGACTTGATAGTGATTAGAAAGGCAGAGCAGGAAATAATTTGTTTTGCCAAACACGGAGTTTTGGGTTCTGTTTTCTTTGCAGTGGATATCAGCAACATCTAAAGCAGAGCACAACACCCTGACTGGCTTAAAGAGCTGAYATTGCTAAAGAGAGAAGGAAAAACCAGATTTAATGTTTTGGCAAATGAAAGTCTTTTCAGTTCACCTGTAAGAGACTTAAAAACTTGTAGTATTTAGATGTAGMCAGAAGGTAGTGGCAATTTTTGTGGAGGTGCTAGGGTAGAGAGATACAGTGCATCTACTTTGTGCAGATTGTTCTTCACTATAGGCTAGCCACCACAAACACCCGTTGGTACTTTATCACAGCCAGTGAGTTACCCAAAGATATGTTGGATTTCTTCCAACTAACCAAGCATCTAAATATATGAGGTGATAAAAACATACCAAATCCTTAAGGCAATGTTCCTTTCGTGTTTTGTATCCCAGACAGTTTGTCTCAATCAGGCATCTGAATCCCAGAGTGCTTATTGTATCTCTGCTGACCTGGAAGGGCAAAACCTCATTCACTATTCACATGCTCAAATGTTTGTTCGTGTATAATCCTGTGTCAGCTAGTTAGGCATTTATCTAAACGAGGAATTGATCATAACCAAACTTTAACCTACTACTTTGCTATTATGAAATACCAGTTTGTTTCAAAATGTGAATACACYCAAATAAGCAAGGTTTTTACGAATTCTGTTTCAGATCATTCTAGATGGAACCGCAGGCAGCCCGTGGTCTGCTCATGACAGCCACAGAGGTTACAGCAGTGCAGCAGGGAACTCAACTGCCTGAAATCTCTATTCCAGCTCATCAGTCGCTGGAGGGAGGAAATCAGATGCATTTCACTTCACAACTTTCAAGCAAAGGTTAATTTTAGGGACGGCTTAAGTTTAATATGTTGGGGAAAAAACTTAAGGTGCGCTTGAGGGTTGTGGCCAGCGTGCTGTGCGCTGACATGAGAGTGAGAGATGGCTTCCAAGATCGAGAGGTGCGGCAAAGGCTTCAAGTTATAGAGTTAAATRTATTTACAGGCATTATTAAAGTAAGGAATTTAATACTGAACCAATGATTATTCATCATATTGATGGATAAAATCATATAACCATGAGTAATAGTATACATGAAGATATATTTGTTGGTTTTTTTTCTTTTTTGATTGTTATTTAAAATACACATTTTGAAGTCTTTAAATTGTGTTTCAYTGAAAACATTTTAAGTAGCATGGCAGCATTCAGCATCCTCTTCGTCAATACACAGAAGATAAAACTGTCAGTGGACAGTTTGGTTTGAGTGAGGTCTATAGTCAGCAGCCTTCTTAATTAAACAACGTTTTATTTTGAAAAAATGTGAAGTTATAGACTGGGAATAAAATTTTATTAAAGGGCAAAGAGCCAAGATCTGCTTTTACACCCTCAAGCATCAGGAGAAATCAACATTAAGAATTTGAAGCCAGAAGTTCTAGGGGGCATCTGAACTTCAAAAGCTACAAGTGAATGTTTGCACTCGCAAACACCTTCTTTGCTTGCACAAAACAAGCACTTGCACTCTTAATTGTCCTTTTGATGTATACAAATATGTGCACATACAGTATAACTGGAGATCTCCATAAAAATAAATTACCTTAAGTGTGTGAAATTAGCCAAGATTACTTCAGATTTGTTTTCAGTTGTCAAAATCTGTGAGCAGCATCATGTCTTGTAATGAGGCGAAGCTGTTGCATGCCCTAATATGTGCAATACCAACAGTGCCAGTTGTTTGTACAAGTCCCTTTGTACAAGCTATTCCTCAAGCTACTGTTCACTGTCTAATCATTTCTATGAAGAATTAGAAAACTCCTCTCTTCAATGCTACCTGTGAGGTAACATGCCCCATGTACTGTACAAAGTCATCATTTAATGCTCTTTGCTTTAAGAAAATGCCTGTTTTTGTTCTCCAGCAAATCCTTACTTTTTAGACTCCCGGTTACCAAATACTATGTTATCATCAGAGATAAAAAAAAAATGTCCCAGAATACCTGAAGTTTGCTTCATTAAGGTGGTTGCAATGATTCGTGACCTTTAAAAGTCATGTTTGCAGAGTAAAATTAAAATTTAGTCTTCCCATCTAGCATAAATGAGCATAAATGAAAGGTTGGAAGAATTCCAGATTTTTCCTAAATTTTCAATGTCCTGCCAAAATTAGCATCTGGATTGTGCTGAATCTTCAACAGCCTGCCAAAATTAGCACTTTCCTGACATTGATTTAGCATCTGGATGCCAGGCAGCCTAAGTGGGAGTGCGGTTTAGCCTGCAGCAAAAGGGAAGCGTTTCACAAGAGCCCATCCGTCTGCAATGCTGTTCCACTGGCCTGGCATTCTGTAGCTCTGCAGTGGGCTGATACTCAGGCAGCCAGGCTACCACAAATGCACTTTCCGTGAGCGGCTGTACGCTGTGTCCTTTGCTATCAGTCTCCCTCCTGACCACAACTGCGTTTGTATCACTGACCTCCATAATTCATTGCTGCAACTCCAACTTGGGAACAAAGCAGCACSTTATAAAGGCGTCCAGCAGTTGTAAAACACGGCAGCCCCATGGATGTAGCAACAGGTCATGGTGAGACCTTTGCCCTGGAGCTCAGTTGCTTTTGCGCTGAACACACCAAGGGCCATTTCAAAGTCTGTCCTGATAAKGAAAGGCCTCCATGAAGGAGGGTCACGAACAGCTAAATTCTGCTACAGCTGAAAAATCCTTGGTAAATGAAGGAGTTCCAAGCAGGAGACAGAGCTTGGGCAGACACAGGACCTAAAAATCGGAATTTGCCATCTCAACATATGTAACAAGGCTGATGAGAAAGATCCCACTCCTTTGATTGCAACACACCCACACTTAAAAATGAACTATATCTTTCAAAACCTGGGGATGAAAGAGGTGTTTAACTATTTTAGTTATTTTGAAGAGTTTGGATTCTGTGGTAATAGAGATCATATAAATGCATAGATGTGCAGACATATTTATGACATGAATTTTTACTCTTGAGCTCTTAATAGATTATTTATTCTATTTAGTCTCATTGCACTAAAAATCCTTGTTTCCAGAGCTGAAGGTATGCTTATATGTAACATATTAAGTTGGTTTTAATAATGGAAGGTTTGCCATTTTATGACAGCCAGAGCAACAAAACATTACTGTGCACCCCAAATAAACCATTTTCTTATGTTTTTCAGTCTAACTAGGTGTCTTATTTTGTGTGATCTTCCCATGCCCCAATATTTCTAGCCCGTTTTCCTAAGGAAACAAGTGTTTACTCTTGTGTCCCGCTATTCATCCAGCCCACGGTGAACCCACCATTCAGTTTCTGAATAAGGCAGAAATATTYGACAGGAGACAGCACAAAAGTCTTTTCTTACAAGTTTTATAAAAATTTGCAATTGTGGGAGCCGCAGCTGGGATTAAGGTGGCCTTTGAGGACGGCGCTGCAGGGTAAGCTCAGCTCTCTGCGTTAGGCGCCTGTGGCTGAGGGGCACGTTCCTAGTGCTGAACCTTGCAGCGTCTGTCCGGAGGGATGACAGGGAACCTTGGCAGGATGGATGGCTGGGCTTGTTGGGGACAGGGCACTGCAGCAAGGACATGTGCCTCAATCCATACGAAACTAGACGTCATTAGTCCATGGAGTAACCTGTGCAACTTTTTTTCTTCAGATTTTACTTACAAAACTTGCCTTTCATGTCAAAATTTATGTCAATCCCAGTGATTATATACGTGCTCATGTAGGACTGGAAAGTTATAGGTATTAATAGGGGAATAATTTTCAAAAGAAGTGAAAATTAGCACTTCTGAACATAAGGATTTATATATGGATAACTGACATATAAGATTATGATTTCCTGACAAAAAATTATTTGGATGGRTTGACCTAAATTATTTATTCTATGGCCTGGAAGGGTACATTTTAAAAAGCTTTGAGTATCTTCCTAAATCTTGTTATTTTTTAATATTGTGATCTTTAATGACCTCTGAGTCACAGAGTTCAGTAATGTCTCTAACGAATGAATAAACAATGAAAACTGTTAGGGCCAGTGCTACTAACACACTGGAAAAACAGACTGGAAAAACAGACTGGGATGGAAATAGCATTTTTTTTCTTTTTTTTTCTTTTTCTTTTTTTTTTTTTTCTGTAAGAGGTGGCTTTTAGAGGACTTAACCGTGAGGTGCCCTGGCAGGAAAATAAGGAATAAACATGTAACCTATTCTATGGCAATTGTCTGTCTAAAAAGTGGAGTTCACATTCCAGAGTCATTACATTCATTTTTAGAAAACAGTGTGTCTGTAGCTATTTCGGCAAATTCAACTTGCTTCTGAAATGCTGAAGTGTGTTAGTCCGCTTCAGGATGGTAGTTTACTTTGCATAGACAAAGATTGGGAAGGATAGTAGAAAAGTAAAATTTTGTTAAATAGATATATCATAGGGAAAGTGTGGACAAGAAAGCTTGCTCTTTCTCTTAAGTTTTAAGGGAAAAAAWTCAAAATTTTGCATTTATTGTTCTGAAAAATTATCTTCTTTTGAGATTTTCTGCTCTTCTGGGAAATTCATAAATCAAATGGTACAAAACCTAATCACAGCTAGGAGTATGTTGCACACAAAATGAAAGCAGACATTGACCCAGATATTCAATCAGAATATAATTATCAATGTACTAATCAATCTGGATTGTAAGAGTGCGATGAGTGGAGTTAGTGACGTGTTCCCTCGGAGCTAGTCTGGAGCTTTCCTCTGAGTAAGCAGAATTAACAACTGCGGTCAGTTGGGTTCACAATCTGAGGGCTCAGTTTGGTAAAATGTTACCTAGATGATCTGTTTACCCCGTGCTCTGTGAATGCAGCCAACACTGATAGCGTTATCATCTTCAATATAAAGATAACATTATCATTTTCAGATATCAGTAGGAGTTAAGCACGTATGAAGAGAGCCTGGAGATCATAAATGGCTGGATAAGTTAATTGTATAAATGGTTTTAATTAAATAACAGCAAAAAGTCATTATTCATCAACTTTAATATGACAGTGCAACTTCTATAGAAATGGAACAGTTACCTTAGATTGTAGATTGTAGTAGATCTAAGATCTTAGTTTGTAGTAGAACCAACATGCAGGACTGTAGTAGAACCAACATGCCAACTCTTTTGGATGAGAAAGGATGAAAAGGCTGTTCTTAAACTCTCCTGTTAGACACTTCCTTTTGGGGTCTTGGATGGTCACTGGATGGGTCTCAGCTGTGTTGCCAGAAATGAGGACAATACTATCACATGCAGCTTTGAATTCTCATTTGAAGATACATTTTTTTTCGTGTTTTATACTTACTAATTCAAAAGACCATAAGATGACAATGGGCAAAATACGCTTCCTATTCAAAGCTACCACAGAGGTTAAAGCTGATTTATTTTGCAAATGATCAAAAAAGTTTAATACAAATTGGTAACTTGTGAAGTGCAAAATCGTAGAGGAGTAATACAATTGTCGAGTGGTTTTAAAGTAGATACTCTTCAGAACAGAGCCATAAATTGTCTTATCTGTTCAAAATCTCTTTATCCTTCAGGTCTCAGTGGTCTGGTATTATCTGCTGCTTCCTACAATGTAAATGTTAATGGTTATACAGCATGAGACAGAACTAGATTATTTTAGTTAGCAAGGGAATTAGCTATGTTTGATTTTTATCTGATCTGTCTTGTAGTTTCCATCAAGGCAAGGCTCATCAGTGGGCAGAAAAGCTCCCATCTATTGGAAAAGGCTGGAAGGGGCTTTTGCTCTGTACTGCTGTAGCACTGTAACAGGGTATGGGTGGATGACCTGAGCTGCTCCCATCTCCTCCTGTTTAAGAAAGCCTTCATAATGTAGAAGACTGCTGCACTGACAGGTAAAAAGCAATTTCCTCCATATGTCTCTGCAGCAGTTCAGATCATAATTTACCCCAGGGAACGAGCAGGCACAAGAGTAATTAGAAAAGTATAAGTTAATGAAGCATTCCATGCAGAAGCACTTACTAAATACCTGAAAAGACAGCTATTTATTTAAAAGCCACCAGTATTTCCACACAGCTTACTTCAAGTATGAAAAACTAGTTCATGATTTTTAACTGCAGCTTTTCCTTGAGGCCTGCAACATACAGACTCATCCCAGCTCATGTGTATTCACAGCTCTGCTTCAGCACTTTCTTCCCGGGTCTGTGGCTTTCACTGTGCTGCCCCTGCTTCCTTAGGCACCATGAGGAAGGGGATAAAGGCTGCAACACTTAAGGCATAAGAGGTGACCTTTTCAAACAGGGGATTTCTGACTAGCTACTCACTAGACAGATATTCAGTCATTTCTTTAAGCCATGGACCTGTTGTTGTCTTCCCAACTTCCCAAAGGAGATAGATAAGGCTGCCAGCAGGGCAGCTGTACACAAGGCAGCTCATTGAGAGCTGCCTCAGTATTTCGAGAGCCCGCTCAGTACCAAGTAGTCCTAGTTAGAGCACATTGTTGCCTTTATATTACAAACTGCTAAAGTAAAAAGGAAGGGGCTGCGTGCCAGGACSTGAGCACGCAGAAACCACAGCAGCCGTTAGGGCGCCCAACCGCCCGCCATGGCCGTTGGGGCGGCGCCGAGGAGGCGGGGCCAGAGCAAGCAGCGGGGCGCATGCGCAGCCCCCCATCAGCGCTGGCCGGTGGGCCGGGCAGGGCGCATGCGCGGCGCCCTGCGGGCGGGCGGGCGTGCACGCGCGGCCCGGTCGGGAGGGGGGAGTGTCGTGGCCGCTTCCGCACTGGCGGAGGGCGGCGCGTGCGCGCGCGGGCGGGGGGCGTGCGGCCGCGCCATGTGTGTCTAGCGCTGCCCGCGCCGCCGCCTCAGTGCGGGCAGCGCTGCGCCCCGCGCCGCCGCCTGCGCACGGGCGATGTCCGCCCCTCGGCGCTGCCTCTCCGGCTACTTCTGCC